AAAAGAAAAAAATTATATTTTAATTTTGCGCTTTGTAAAGAAACAAAATTGAACAAAAAAATCCCCCTATAACCGCAAAAATTTGACAAACTAAAAACTGTAAATGTGAACAAAATTCGCTGCACAAAATTTGGACCGTACCTCCACTTCCAAATATATATTATATATATACGATCCCACCGATTCCCAAAATCAAATATTTTTCCTTTCTTTGCGTTAAAATTAGCTTAAAATGAATAAGATTTAACCCAATTTTTAATTTGATTTCACTTAAAAACTAAACTTGTAAATGTAATACTTTGTGCTATTAAACTTGTTATCTCTGTCTTAACTTACTATCTATCTCGCTCTCGCTCTGTGTGTATCACTTTATCTGTCTATTTCTCTCTCTATATCTCTCTCTCGCTCTCTTTGTGTCTCTGTCTCTATCTATATCAATATTATTATTATCAATGTGTCAAACTGTGTGTTGTGCTTTTAATATTATTAATCAATACGAATACGGAACAGCTATATATATATAAAAAAAAAAAAGAAACCACAAATTCTCCATCAAATATAAAAACAAGAGAGGGGTCCAGATCTGAACGTTGTGCAATTGATATAACCGACATATATATACCTCAATATATATATATATAAAAACTGCATTAATTTATCAACCAAAAACAAAGAATCGTACTAAAGCGCTTTTGGTGTTTTTTTAAACATAAACATAACCGCAAAAAAATATATAAAAAAAAAAGAAAAACAAAACCACAAGAAAAGAAAATTACAGTCAAGAAGAAATGCAACCAAAAAGAAAAAGAAAAACAAAAAAAGAAATATAGAAAAATAATAAAAAAAAAAGAAAACAACCTAATTAAAAATTATAGAAAACTAAATCGAACTAACACACACACAAACATAATACATACACACAACACCAACATACGCCACTCTCACACACACCCACAAAAATCACACTCGACCATAACATATACTACTATATAATACTATTTTTTTCAAACGATATATATGTATTATCTAAATGTGGAACGCTTTTACCATAAATCGTTCGTTCGTTGTTCGTTTATGTAAATGGTAAATGTGTGTGTTCTATTTTTCCATAAGCTAAATGTCTTTCATTTCTCTCTATAAACATATATCAATTTTTACATCTTTTCTTTGTCGTTCATTTATGATTTCTAATCATGATTTCCGTGTTTTACCTAGCCAATATCTGTGTGTATTGTTATCCTTTTAAATATAAATTCAATTTGTTGATTTTTCGATTCTTCGAACTGATCGTAAGACATTAAATAGTAGATTCATGTGTCTGTTAATCATTTCTATATTCAAAGTTTATAAAGTTAAAAGTTAAAAAGTAAGAAAAGAAAGTGAAAGTATTTAGCAATGCAAAATTTATTACAAGAAAATGTTTTTTCATTAAAAATTGGCATTCAATTATTTGATATTCGCCTTCAACTTTATAAAAATCCGAAAAATTTCTTCAAAAAGATCCTTTTAGTAAGCAAACATCTTCATTCACAAACCACTTTAATTAGACAAAAACTCAGAACAGGATAAACAAAAACATAAAATCATGAAATAATAACTTTAAAGATCACTTAGATCTGCTATTTTTTAGTCAAAGGATTTAAAAAAACTTATAAAAAAGATCAACACTGCTATCATATGATTTCTAACATGATTTAAGCTACTCAAAAAGTCTAAAAATTTACATGAAATCTACTGAAAGAGTTAATTGAATTAAAATCATTATTTTCTTAAATCATTATATTTTCACTTTTGGCTGATGGAATTAAACTTAATCAATGTGTGTGTTTTAATGTTTGTTTTTTTCTTTCTGTTATAGATATATTTTGTGTTTTTGTTAACTACTGTGCTCTATGCTCTAATTGTCTGTCTCTTTTACTCTACTTTTGGAATTGATGTTGTTGTGTACTTTCGTTTTGATTATTCTGGTTTATCTTCGATTTTCACATCTATTTCTTAAACTATCTCTTTCTAATTAATAATCGAAAATCGCTCTGTCTGTCTCTCTTTCTCTCTGTCGTTCAATTTTTTGTGTTTACTATATAAAAAACTTAATCGTATGTATACATAATATATCTGCCTCTGTTTCCTTCCATATCATTTATCGTTGTTGTGCTCTATTCAAGTAAAGACATATCAGATATCGAATATCGAATATTGTTTATCGATTATCGAAAGGATAACAATCCCCCAAAGATACGTATGTGTGTTTTGAGTATATACGTGTGTGTGTGTCGATTTCTTTTTATTTTTCTTTTTTTGTTAATCCGAATTTCTTTGAACTAAATGTTGTGCCACACCTGATGATACCATAGCATATATACCATACGTATAAGTCTGAAGATCTGTCTCTTTCTCTAGGTATATATATACATACCATACGTACGATATATACTCGTTAATATATATATTCGTACGCCTAAGTTAATGTATGTAATACCTGACTCAACTGCAACTGTGCCACCAAACTATGTTTAAGATATGGAAACTCGATCGTTCTCCCCCCCTTAAGTCGTCCAACCATAAAGATAATAGTACTTTGTGCGCAGATTTCTTCAGCTTTAGGGCTAAAATTGGATCCTCGAATCCGCAAATCGTTTTTTTTCACTTGTTTTTCATTTCTTCCGTCCTTGATTTATCCTCATTCTTCATTGCCTTTTTCCCCCTTCTTACTTAATTTCTTAATTAATTGCCTTTTGATTGCACTTTTTTTTTGTTTTTCGTTGTGCCATATATATTTTAAAAATATTACAAAAAGAAAAAAATGAAAAAGATATTGAAAAGAAAAAAAAAATTGAGTAAGAAAAAGAAATGTGATAAGAGAAAAGAAAAATGTTGATTGTTTTTTAACATTTATTTTGATTTGATAAATATTGACATTGTCAAGAAGTTGATCTGCGTTTTTTGAACTTGGCTGTGCTGAATGAACATTTCCCATGACTTGTATAACCATTCGTAAGAGTCAATGTGCCTTTTATTTTTGTGTTTTTTTTTTTTTACTGTAACATTCGACCATATTTGAGTTCAATACGATGAAAAGAGTGCGGCATATATGGAAAAACTTCTTGAAAATAGTTAAGTGAAAAGAAAGCTACCTAATACTGATTCGATTTTATTTAACTTATTTTCCAATTGCATTTTTTTTGTTTGTTTTGATATAAAACTTTTTTTGAAACACACGAAATTTGTAAAACACAAAAAACACGATTTGGCCCCCCACAGAAAAAAAAAAAGAGTTTGTTTTCTCCAATAACCCAAAATTTTGTATGTTTTTTTCGTTTTGTTTTTTATTCCAAATTTTACTCTTTTTGTTTAAGCATTTTATGGACATTTATGTACAGATTTAGAACTATTATGATTTGTATTGATTTTTTTCGTGCGCAAAATTGTCAAATTAAGGCAAACAAAATTTGCTTTCCAATTTTTCAAAATTTAAAAAAAAAACATAAATATGCAAGGTATGCGTGATGTAAAAGCTCTTTTTTCATTTTAGTTTAGTTCAAGTTTTTACCTTCAACTTGTTGCCAGGCGAATGAATAAACCCAAACCCCAAAATTTTTTTGTTTATGATTTGACAATCCAATGCAATTACGAAAAAAATCACTGTTCAACCAAAAATTTAAACTTTAAAATCGAAAAAAGCGTACCGCGTTCCAAAATTGATCAGAACCTTGATCAAAACGTCAAATTTAAGCAAAAAAAATACCACAAAACAAAACAATTTTTAACAATAAGTTTACACAAAAACAAAAACTATATTAAAAAAAAAAACACAAAAAGCTAAATGTAAAACCAAAATCAAAAAGGAAAGCAATGAAAAAGCTTTATCAATATTTAACGTACGATTATGCGACGTTTTTCGAACAACGCCCAAACAAAAATCGAAATTCAACTTCTTGAAAACAAAAAAAAAAAATACTAAAAATACCAAAAATGATATATAAATACCAGAAACTTTGTTAATGCAATTCTTGTAAAGCAATAACTATGAAAATGACAAAAAAAAAGAACAACAAATGAAATACACAACGAAAGTCAAATGCTGAAACCCCCTCTTGTTTTTTTGGCATCCATCCAACGGTTTGAGACACGTTTAAAGCACTCGGCCATGGTTTAGAGGTCTGGTCCAAGGCCTAAAACCTGGTCCAGACCCAGAGCCAGAGCTGGAGTAGGGAGAGGCGCAGAGCCGGAGGAGAGCATTGCTGTGGGCCTGCCAAATAGGCGGCGGCCCCCCCATAAGTTTTCCATTCTTCTCCTTGATGACATACATTGATTCCGTTTTCAGTTCCTTGCCTTAATTTTTCTGTTTTTTTCTTATTATTTTTCTTACCTCGACAATTGTAAAGTTTGTAATTTGTTTTTTTTTTTCCTAATTTTCCTTATAACCTCTCTCCCAACTATCTCTCATGTACAATTTAAATACTAGAGTTCCAACGTTGATTTATTTTTTCACGAAAGCGATGTAAGGAGAGCAAGTTGCCGAAGTAAATAAATACTCTGTGATTATCTTCTTTTTATAAATGCATAATTTACGTTGTCTTAGTTTTGGAACATCCTATATATAACTCTCTCTCTCTCTCTCTCTTACACTCTCTCTCTCTCTATCTCTCTCTCACTCCAAGTAAACGAATAATTTTATGATTATTTTTTTGGTTTCCGTTAGAAAACAAAAAATACTAGAAAATACTAGTTTTGCCAAAGACAAAGAAAACGAAGAAAAGCAAAAATTCAAAAAATCAGCAGAGAGGTGATGCTAAAACTAGAGAATTCAAATCGATTGCCAGCAAAAACTGAAACTGAAAAAAATCCAAGAAAAAAAAATCTATATATACCAAAAACCTAGACAAAATACCGAAACTATATAAAAAAAAAATACCAAGCCAAAAAAAAAATTACCAAAAAACCGAAAGAAAAGCAAGTAAAGAAGTTGATGTTGGATTTTTGTTTGGTGTCTGTTCCAGGAAACGTCCGAATCGCCCCACCAACAACAACAGCCCCCACCACACGCTGTGGGCGTTGGGGCGGGCGGTGCCTCAGCGGCCGCAGCAGCCGCCGCTCTGCTGCACCAACAGCAACAGCAGCAGCAGCGTACCCCACACAGCCCCCCGCCGCCGCCTTTGCACATGTTTCCGTGCCTCTACTGCCACATGGCCTTCCCCAACAAATCGAAACTCACCCGCCACCTGCTGACGCACTCACTGAAGACGCTCGAGTTCCGTGAACCGCCCACAACGGCATTGCTTCATTCGCATCTCCTTGGCGATCTCAATATGGCCGCCGCCGGTCTACCATCGCCGTTTGCCTTCCAGATGAACGCGGCCGCAATGGCGGCAACTTCCGGCAGTGATACACAGGAACAAGTTGCAGCGGTTGCTGCTGCCTTTGGCATTGATATGGAAGCGGCGTTCCAAAGTTTGACGGCCAGTTGCCTGGATGCAAGCGCCATTGTTAGTGGTGGTGTTGGTGGTCAGGGAGCTGTGGTCCGTTTGGCCACATCCGCTGGAAATGGCGGTGGCCTGATGCTAGGAAGCGGTAGCGGCGGCAGTGGCAGCGGATCGGGGGCTGGAGCGTTAACGGGTGGCAGCGGCGGCGGTGGCGGTAGCAGCGTTGGTGGTGGTGGTGGTGGCAGTGGTGGCGGTACAGCCACTGGCTCTTTGTCGCCATCAACATCTGCCGCAGCGGCAGCAGCAGCAGCGGCGGCGGCGGCAGCGGCGGCCGCAGCACAATCGCAATCAGCGTCGCTGCTGGGCGCCGCGTCCAGTGATCCGAATAGTGTTGTCATGTGTAAGTTCTGTGCTAAAAGTTTTCCCGATGTTACATCACTGATCACGCATTTGTCGGTACATACAGGTGATCGACCATTTAAATGTGAGTTTTGTGGCAAAGCGTTTAAGCTGCGCCACCACATGAAAGATCATTGTCGCGTGCACACCGGTAAGTCAATAGTTTTACGATAATCGATTTTATTAATCGATTCACCCCCTGATTCTTATCATATCATATCATTTATCGCCCTAAAAGTTCCTTTTATTATATTGACAATCATGCCAATAATTAGTCGAAGTTTAGTTCAACTTTTTAAATTAAAGAAAGTGTAATATTAACTATTAGTAATATTTAGATACTATAAATAGTGGAAAATCACGTATACGACCTTCTGATAGAGTAAAACGTACAAATCCCTAAGAAATAACAGAAAGTACTTCTCCTTCTTTTACGTTTTTAGTCACATAACGACCTATGAATAAGTGTTAATAATTTATTCAGGTTCCTTTTGCTTAACAAACCAAAATTCAAATAACCAAGTTTGTGACAAAACTGATATTTTATTTATCAATGTGATTCCACAAAGATATTATCCAAAGCATTTGAAATATACCAATTTTTGAAATATTAAGGTTTCATAAAAGGACCAAAACAGCCATTTGAGTGACTTCAGTTTAGATTTTAATCATTAACCATGAATTTCTTCTTAGTATAATTCCAAATGTCTTTGACTAAACAATTAAAAAGGAACTTTTTGTTAGGAAACCATGACGTATCATCCCTCACCATCCAACCATTCTCCATTCTCAGCACCAAAAATACACATTATCTATTATATATATATCTATATCGAAACCTATCTCCTTGATTTCCTTGTACCCGTTTCGGGGAAATCGAACTTTGCAGGCGAACGGCCATTCAGATGTAATATGTGTGGGAAAACATTCTCGCGCTCAACGATACTCAAGGCGCACGAGAAAACGCATTTTCCGAAATATGTGCGCAAGTTTTTGTCACCCAGCAGCCCGGTCGATACAAAGGATGAGTTGCCGCAATAGTGAAACGATTTTAGTTTGTTATTAAATTATTATTATTACTACTATTACTATTATAATAATAACAATAACAACAGCAACAATAACAACAACAATGCAAACTATTTGCAAAACACCACGACCAACAACAACAACAACAACAACACCAACAATTTCAATTACAACAACAATTGATGAGGACGATCCAAAACAAGAACTTTGACTTACTTAAGGAGGAAAATGATAAAGCAGGAATATGAGGAGGAAGAAGAGGAGGAGAGACCAATACAACAAAACAAAACACCAACATACACCAACCCAGCCCAATACACACACAGACACACACACAACCACATATATGTATATACCGTTGAATCCATGTATATACATATGTATATATTTTATTAATTATGTAAAACGAGGCATCAGTTCGAAAAGTTCTGATCGAACAGAAACTCTAGCAAATAGGAAAGAGACAGCAAAACACCAACACACTTACACACACACAGACACAATAGAGCAGGCAGGCTATAACCGTACACAAAACATCTATATATATATATATTAATATATACATTATATACAATAATTATATAGCAGCATATTGTCGAATTGTTGAAGTTTATACCAAGAAGCAAACTTGTTTTTTTTTTGATGATGATAGGGAAGATGATGATGATACAGGATGAGTCTTTGGAGACAGAAAAAACTATGAGGGAATGATATATATATATTCCCTTTTTTTTTGGATGGCATGAAAAAAAAAAGAAGAATGAGTAACGTTTTTTCTACCCAGGCAGAATAGAGAGAACGAGAAGAACAGCTAAGGCGAGCGTGAGAGTTGTAGCAGGAATCTAATAAAAATGATATATATATACATATATATATGATATATATATTTTTCAAAAGTATATGTTAGAGAATGTAAGACATATAGGCAAGAATGAAAAAGCGCAAAAAAAAGAAAAAGTGAAAAGAAATTTACAAAAAATACTTTGAAGAAAGAAAAAAAACATAAAAAATTGCTAAACCTATATATGATGATAAAAATTGATCTAATTGAATACGATTTAGTAATGCTAAACAATAGCGATTTAGCGATAACGATAACGATAAACATAAACGTAATGAAAAGAACAGTGAACACACGTGATGTAACTTTTTAAGTAGCAGCCGAAGCCGAAGGATCCGATAACGTAGAATGTTGACGATGATAATAAAGCGTTAAAGTAGCTTAAAGTAAACATAAAACTCCCCCCCTCCCCTTCTCCAGCCCCCATAACACTAGCAAAACAAAAACACAGACACACACTCTCAAAAATCAGTAGAAGCAAAGTGAACTGGTGATGAAAACACACACACACACACACAACAACACCATCAAAACAATCCAAATTCGAGTAAAAGCAAAGTGAACTGGGGGACACATCCGAAATTTAAGCAAATTCATCAAATGTAGCATACTTTTGTGCGACTTCGGTTTTAACTTTTTCGAACAAGTGAACGCAGTAGAACATACATATCCCCCCTACAAAATACACCAAACAACAACAAAGAAATAAAGGAAACCAAAAGAAAAACAGGCTGGATCGGCTACAGATCGAATCGCTATATAGAGGACTCTTTTCGATAGTGAGTTTAGTGCAACTTTAGGCAACCCCTGAACCCCCCTCGCTCACACACACACACACACACGCGTATATTGTACACTCACAGAACTTATTATATACAGTAACATATACATATATCTATATACAATATTTATATATCTATATAAAACCAGATGCAGAAACCCGAAATGAGACATTTTTTGGAATTCAGATAAAATTTGAAAGCGAAAAAAAAGTAAGAAAATGATAATGAAACAGCAGCAGCAGCAGAATTACATAGAATATCTGTGATCTTAACGATATTTATATAAATCTTATACATAAACCAAAAAATATATATATATATGTATATGAGTAGTAGAGGGAAAAAAAACAACCACACACACACACACAACACACACTAGGAATACCAACTAAGTGTAGGCTGTAGCGAAGAAAACAGAAGATTTGGCTTAAAGATCACCCAAAAACTCACATATTTTACTTTTCTAATTTTTGTTTACCAAGTTTACTTTGCTTTGAAGAAAAGAAAAGAAAAAAAAAGAAAACCACAAACCCTTTTGGCTTTTTCGATAATGAAATGTGCTAGTAACTAAAGCAGAAGGGCAAGCTTATAAGTAATTATAGAACTTTTTTTGTGTTATCACGTTATCACGAATTCTTCTCTGTACTTTGGCTTGAAGGGAAGACGAAGCTCTGAATATTCTCGCTGAGAAAACCTTTTCCATCCAATTAAGAAGTGCTTAGCCCGGCAACAACAACAGCAAACGAAACAACAAGAAATGCAAATCGATCTCAAAATTATAAACAAAATGAAAACAAAACAATTATCTATAAAAAAAAAAAATAAACACAAAACCAAGGAAGTTTGTGAAAAACTTTTGTGGCTAGGGCTAAAAGCGTTTAAATCGAGGAAAATATATAATCAATTAACTGCGGTTGGGGCAAAGATTTTTTCTCAATTCAATTTTTTTTTTTTTTTTTTTTTTGGCAACGAATTGGGAACAGAAAAAAATTAACAAATTTTTAAATAAGAAAGATATTAAGAAGAAAAAAGAAAGCAACAACAAACGCACACTATAAGCACGCTAGGCAAAATTCAAAATTCTAAATTTTAAACCAAAAAAATAAAAAAGCGAAAACTTTTTGGCAAAACAAACAAAAAACGCAAAAAATGGAAACAAACACACAAAAACTTTTGGATTAAACAATTTGGCTGTGATAGCATTACAAGAATAGTAAATAATTAATAAAAAAATATTTAACCAAAAACAAAAAACAAAAAACAAAAAAAAAACAAAAGAGAAGAGAGAAGAAAATTATTTGCTTTGCATTTTAGAAAAGCGAAATGGAAAAGCGTTGCCCATTTTCACCTTTGTTGTTGGCTTACTTTTCTCATGCAGTATTAGTGGACTTTTTAGGAGGGGGGTTGGGAGGTAGGCGGTTGGAAGTAGAAGTAGAAGAGCAACAGGCATCAATTCAATAAATTGTGATGTTATAACGAAAGCAAACACAACGGATACTCTGCATTAACAATTTATCCAACATAATCAAGCTAAAAAAAACTAAACGAAAAAAAAAAAACAAAATTTAAACTTTAGGAACAAATGACGAAGTAAAAAGAAAGCAAAACAAAATTGTGATTTTCGGCCTTTTAGAAACAAAATTATTAAAAACAATTAATAACGATATAAAAAAAAAAAAACACACACACAAAAAAACGTAATAAATAAATATAAAGGAAAATACCAAAAGCTTTCTCGATTAATTTTAATTGCATTTCAATAGGGGAAATTTAGATTTTATTTTTTTTGGCACAGCCAGACCAAAAAGTCTTTGCACAGCCGCCGCAGAAAATGAAAATGAAAATGAAAAACAGGGAAAATCGAAAGGAGAAGAAAACCAAAACATTCCAAGGAAATACGAGTAGACAAACAGGATGGAAAAGGAAAAGCGGGAATCGAGAGCTTCGTTTCCGAAAGAAAACAATTTTTTTTGCTAATTTTTTTTTTCCTAATTAAATAAATGCACTGAAAAACAAAAAACACTCTCACTTACATACACACACACACACACACAATGTTTCATGCTCTGTGTCTCTTATTAATTCTTTTTTTTTTTTATTATTATTAATATAAACACCCACATAAATATATATAAAAAATATATATATATATTTAGTTTTAAATGTTTAAGCGAAATGTTATTATTATTATACCAACTTATATGAAATTTATTTAGCTTTAGCAACGACAAAACAAAAACCAATTTAACTAAACAAAAAAAGGAAATGAAAAGAAAAAACGTGGCAACAAATTGATATGTATAATTTTTGTTTATTTCTTTGATAAGTTTGAACTTTGCTTCTGTTCTGTATGATGTATTACCCACCACCACCAGCCCGACTCACCCATATTATTTTGTTAAATGATTTTCCGGAAAGAACACAATGAATTTGTAAGCTATATGAGAAAAGGAAATGAAACCGATCTAACTAATAACACACACACACACACACCTATGTCAAAGATTCAATTTCAAATTTTAAATCAGCAATAAAACAAAACAAAAACAAAAAAAAACGGAAAATAAACAGCGACAAGAGTTTAAGTGGAAAAAGAAAAACAAATGAAATGAAAAATAAAAAAAATCCTTACAACTTTTGGCCTTATTTTTTCTCTTACGTTCAACAATCAACAATTTCATTTTCTCATTTCCAAACTCATCCAGAAAAAACCTTTTCCATATATCATTATAAAAAAACGAAAATTCATTGTGTCAGCATTTCTCATTTTTGGCCTCATTTCTTTATGGTTTAACTATGATTAAGTTTAGTTGATAAGAATTGAATTTGCTTAGCGCTTAAGTTGTGATCAAAAGTTCCTTAGTTTGGTTCCCCCATAAACGTTAATTTGTGTTTCAATTATTTTCTTATTTTTAATATTTCAACAAGCCATCAAACAGCAGCAACAAGAATAAAAATTTCTAACAAGTTCCTTGAAAAAAAACAAACAAAAAACAAACAAACAAAACAGCAAAACAAAATAATTAATAAACATATTAGCAAAATATACAAAATTGCCAATTGACTCCAAGCGAATAATAATAATAAAAAATTGACACACAGTTGGTTTAAATATTAATTTAATTTCTTTTTTACGTCCTTCTTTTTCCGTACGTTTTCTTTTTAGGTTTTTTTTTGATTTTCAAAAATGTTGCCAGTTTTTTGTTTTTTTTTTTTTTTTTTTTTTGGTATTTAAAAGAGAGAAAAAAGAACTTTTGGATCAAATCTCAATGCTAACACAAATTTTTAGTGGAAATTTTACGAGTAAAGAAGAACTTTTAGGCCTAAATAGAAACGAGAGACTCAAGAAATTGATTTAGCTTCTTTTAGTTTCCAAAAGACTTTCCAAAAAGAAAACAAAAACCTAAACTTAATGAAATATATATATATATAAATATATATCTTAACAAAGGCACCAAGAAAAAGCACCCACATAGAAGAGCAGCGCATATATTATATATATTCAGATATTCAGCTTCGGTTTTTCTTACGATTTCTGCTTTAGGTTCTAACCTTTAGTTCTTGGCACAGGACAAAAACCCTAAATAAATTAAATAATTAAATGGAAAAAAACGAAAATATGAAAAAATGAAAAAATGAAAATGAATATCATTAGGCGTAACTGCAAAAATGCATTTTAAAGGAAACAGGAATTTAAAATTATATATACAAGAACAAGAAACACAACAACAGCAACAAAATGAAAACAAAAATTAACAACTAATACAAAATTATATATGTATACAAGAATATTTGGGAAAGCGAACTGTAAGGATATTTATATATGAACCTATATATAAATAGTAACACACACACACACACACACTCACACAGACACGACACACCCACACAATCCTCCAAAACCAAACCCTAGGATCTATATATATAAAGCCTAAATCGAAGCTTCAACTTGTACAGCAATAGCAGTTGAGAGAAGGAGAAAGAATGACACAATGGCGACGACGAGAGGGAGAAATAAAGTTAATTAACAATTACGCTAGAATTGCATACAAGTCGAATTTATATAAATCTATATACATACAATGCATACTAGCAACATTTACATACTCAACCTACTGTAATACAAATGTTTTTAGTTCGTTTTCAAAACAGCAAAAGAGAAAAAAAAAAAAGAGAAAAAACACGATTCCAATCGAAATTCGAATGACAAACTTAGACCTTAAAGAGAAGCTTTGGCACACAAAACCTATATATACAGAGAGAGAGGAGAAAGAAAAAATATACAACGGAATCAATAAAAACAATTAAAACAAAAACAACCAAAACAGTTATACAAAATTTACCTAACAAAATTCAATATCCCCCCCTCTAAAAAGAAAAACTCAAATTCCAAACTCAAATATAATACAAAACAAGAAGAAAAAATTACAAGTTTCGGCAAAGAGAAAAGTTTTTGAAAACTTCCGTTTCGGTTTTCATTTTTCGGCATAGACATTTTTTGCAATCATGTTTTTGTTTTATTTTTCCAATATTTTCATTTTTCAATTTGTTCTAGCAGAAAAAGTGCTCAGGGTAAACACAGATTCTTCCAATACAATATAACTAATGAATGAACAGCAGAACAGAAACAGAAACAGAAAACAGAAACAAGCAACAAACAAACAATATTTATATATGCATATATCGCTCAGTATATATATCTAGATATATCGAAATATATATATATATTATATACAACCAAATATATACAACAACAACAACCAACCTGCAGAACAGCAAACAGCAAACAACAGCAACAAGAAAAAAAATAACAACAACAATAGTACCAATATTTAAACACAAATCTAATTTACAAAAATGTGTTGAAAAAGTTGATATAGAAATATGGAAAACATACAACATAATGGCTGCGGATTACAAATGCTTTACAAAATGCATTAATAACGTACATAAATACATAGTGAAAATCTTTACAATCGACTTATATTTTTTGTAATTGCAAACAAAAAAACAAAAACCATAAAACGTATTTTTTTAATTAACTGTAATCAAGAACAAGCAACAACTATTATAAAGTGAAAGAAATGCAAATGATAAGCTAATAATAATTTTTACACAATCAAACAATAGATGAATATATATATATATATACATATATATTTAAACGAGCTATGGAAGCGAACTGAATCAGTGCTTTGATTTTTTAATTGTATCAACTTTTTGATTTTGTTTGTTAAAGTTAAACGTGTGGGTTTTTATACGATAAATAGAACCTGGCTTAAAGGACCACCTGCCCTGACCCCTGACCCTCTGCTCCAAGTAAACACAATAAATGCCTTTTTTAAAAACTAAATAACGCTGACAAGCTTTGCCACAGTTTCTGAACTTGAAGGCCGGAACTAGTTTCGCTAGTTAAACGCATTTACCAATAGTAAACTCTCTCTCTCTCAAGTGACAATAAACCAAGACATAAAACCCCCATGAACTGACAACAAAAATAGAACTAGTTCCAAAAACAAACCAAATCAATTATTGAAAAATACAATCAATAATCGATAGCACACACACACTGTAAATAAATAGATCTGATGAACCAAGTTCAAGAGAACTAGTTCCAGCCTTCCGAACTATGGCATAGATTGTTTGATTGATTTAGCCACACACACACACACACACACAAACATATGTACCCTGTTGACGAATTGCCTTCTTCATTGATTTACATAATCACCTACAATACAAATAATTTAAGTAACCCAACAGTGAAACGAGATCGATAGACCGATAAATAGAAACAATTATTAAAACAAACAACAAAAAATACAACAACGTAACAATTGATATTTACACCCAGCTCATAGAATGTTTTCCACGTTTTTTACAGTGTTACAAAATAACAAATAACAAATATTTAAAAAAAGAAAAACCACAAAAAAACATAAGTAAATAAATAACAACAACAACAACAACAAAACAAAAGTGACAAAGGAAATGAAAGCAACTTTTGAGTTGTAGAACATAAAGTACATATAAAGATTGTTTGTTCGTAGTATATTCGTAGAATATATATATATTTTTTTGTATACCGCATGTGTTTCTGTTTTGACAAATCCTTACTTTGAATATGCCTTTTTCTGTTCGTTAAGCGAAACTTGTAAGCGCATCAAGCGGGACAGTGAAACGCAATAAACTAAACATAAATGATAACTAGCAATTGGTTTCATCGGCGTATTGAATCAACCACAACAACAACAACAACAACAACCCCAATAAGAAGAAAAACAACAACCATAAAGCTCTTAGTAAACAAATGACAAAAGAAAACTAAATATGTTTGAGTGCCAAGCTAACAATTCGAGGACATACTGTACATAGATAAAAAAAAACAAAAACAAAAACAAAACGAACCAAAAACAAACATGAATAAGTTTTACAAAATATCTGTGTGGGAAAATCAGGTTAACTAGTTTGGAAAGGTATTACAATTTTTAAAAAACTCAGCTAAACTAGTTTCCTGATTGCGCCTAAAAGCACACAATATTCTTTCAGCAGAACTTAACAAGAGATATAACGGTCAATTGGAAATTTGAGTTTTTGACTTGAAAACATGCTGAAACATGTACATAAAATACGTTTAAAAAACACAGCAAAAAAAAAAGGCAAAACCAAGCAAAACTTTTAACCAAGTCTAAAGTAAGGCTAAACAGGAGACAAAACATAGAACCAATTTTTAAAGGATATCAGCGCAAAGAAGCCCTCTCCCTTCCCCCAAAAAATATCCTTACCAAAATGTACATTTCAATACAAACACACACACACACACACAGACAGAAAACACACTTTTTGATACGCTAAAAGTCAAGTTAAAGAAAATATGATATCTACACACTTATATATAGTAATATATAAAAAGTAAACAAATAGCAGGACATTGGAAACCTAAAAGAAAGCTTCAAAAGTTGTAAACAATTTTTTTCGGTATAAGCTCAAGATACTAACACACCTACACACACACACACATACATACAGACGAAGGAACTCACACATATACAAAGGTAAAAAGAAAAACCAAGAGAGAAAAGGCGATGAAGCGGAAAATTTAGGCTGAACCAGCGAGGAAAAATTGTTAATTACTAGGCTTTTGTGGGGCTTATTTAATATTTGTCAAGAGAAAAGAAACCAGAAGGAAAAGCTGATCAATTTTTTGGAAATTAGCATGGGGAAAATTCCCCTGAATAAGAAAAACCATAAAAAAGAAAACGTCAGAAAGGTAAAGCGGAAAAAAAGAGAAAAAAACAACACTGTAGTGCCTACTCCCCTTTAAACAAGAACAACAAAAAAAAACAACAAAAACCGGAATAAAAATAAAATAAAAGTCGAAAACCAAAAAAAAAAAAAAAATATATATATATATACAATACATATATACATTATACATACTAAAGTAATATTTTATAAAAACGCGCAGAGAGCAAAAACCTAAAAAAAAAAAGAAGACAAAAAAAAACAAGAACAAGGAAGTCAGAAATGGAAATTGCAGTTTTTTTGATAGTTATTTTTTTAGCGAGCAATGGGAGGCATTGAGATCTATATATACATATATATATATAACTAAATATACATACACAACTATATACATTAGTATATCTCTCACACACACACACACACACACACACTGACAACCAACCACACCCACATTTATACAAAAAAAAAGTACTTACGGCATGTAAAAAAAGAAATTAGTTTCTAACGAAAGAATGAAAGTAAAAAAAAAAACTATTAGAAAACTGCAAAAGCAAATTTGCGATTTTTAGGCAGTTAGCTATACTACACACATACAAACATACCCAAACACACACACACACACTCAACCAAATCGAGAAACAAAGTAGAAACAACAACAAAGTAGTTTTGCATATCCCCAAAAAAAAAAAAAAAAAAATAAGAAAAGAAAAAGAAAAAGAAAAAAGAACTAAGAGAGAGAAAGGGTTTTGGAATGACGGGAAATGACGAGGAAAAGCCACACAAACACACACCAAGAAACCAATTTATCAAACAAAATTAAACTAGTTTTTAGCAATGAAAGAGAACGATAAAACTATTTTCACTGATGGCAAAAAGGAAAACACACACACACACACACAATGTAAACATATTTAATAAATTTAACAAACCCAAAATGTAAAAAAAAATCTCATATTTTCGACATAAGCAAAATGAAAGAAAGAAAACATTTTTAACCTTCCTCGATAATTTTTGAACGCAAATATGGAATACAGAATAATTATTTCCAGTGTAGTTGCTCTTATTTTTTCGTTCCAAACTTGATCTTGAATTCAGAATTCAAGTCAAAAAATCCAAAATAATTATATGAAATATAATAAAAAAAAAAAGCAACACAAAGCAAGAAAAAATAGCAGCACACTATGGACATTTGAAAATAAAAACAAAATGGGTAGCAAATTAATAGTTTTAGTAAACGACGGTTGAGAAAATTCTTGTAAGTTCCCTATTTGAGGCTCATTCATAAATAATTTAACGAATATTTTTATTTAAACACTTATTATTTGTTTGTTTTTAGACACTTTTTTTTGAAATATTTTCAACTTAAGTTATTGAACCTATTTAAATCAATAATTAAAAGCAAGGGAAAACAGCTCGAGTTATCGTTAAAGGCATTCCAAAAGCGGTGGATTTTCCATCGAAAATTGTAAACGAAAAATCTACTGGGATTAATGAGCTGTTTAACCTAAATGCAAAAGAAACTGCCTAACATGAGGGTTAATAAACAGAGTAAGGCGGTTAAAAAACCACAAACACACACTCACACACACATACAAACATGCAAAATACAATAAAAAAAAAAATAAAAAATAAATTAAGAAATTCAGAAGAAGCAAACAATAAAACAATAACCGAATTAAGAGGATGAACAAATAGCTGCAATACGTTATGATTACGTCAATATGTTCCTACAATATAGACATACAAGATACATAAATAATTTATATAAATATATATTCTTAACTAACTGTAAACACACACACACACACCAACACACACACACACAGAAACAAGAAAAGCAAGAAAAAAAATGAAAGAATTATACAATAATTAATTTAAGGCCGAGGCCGCAAAAAACAATTCACTAAGAGCAGCAGCAGCGACTAACTAACTAAAAACTAAATCTTAAATAATCACAACCGCTTAAGTTTTATTAAACATTTTTCATTAACATTATTAATCCTAAGTTAAGCAATTTTCCCCATTATTTATTGAGCGATCGTAACTCTAAAATAATGCAAAATATATATACAAAAAAAAACATATATATAGTATAAACTATAAACTGCAATTTAAGTTCCAATCGAATACAATTTAGTTTTGATTTATATTTTTTTTTTATATATTTCGAAATAAGATTTTTGATATTTTGTGGCTAATAAAAATGGCAAAATGAAAATAAAAAACCAACAAAAGCGAAATAAAAATACATATAAAAACCATTTCACTATCATGTACATTCCTTATCGTTTTTACACACACTTCAGCACCCAAACACACACACACACACACTCATACATACCACAACACACCCGAGCTATATAGTACTTTGTACTCTATATATGCAAGAGAGAGCTTGATGGGAACTCAACAGATATATATATATGTATGGAAAATACCCCAAAAAAAAAAAACAAAAAAATAATAAGAAAACAAAAAAATTATTACTAAAGACAAACAATGGAAGGTTAAAAATATACGCTAACTATATATTTTTTTCGTAGTCGAAACGAGAACTAAAAAAGAAAACAAAAAACAAAAAACAAAAACCAAAAGCACTGAGCAAAAATAATTACTTACAACAAAAACTCTCCACTCAATTTTTCGACTCGACTCATTTTTCGAGTTGACCCAAAATGCTGAATAATAACTATAAAAAAAGAAAATGAAAACTAAAGAGAGAGCAGCTTATCAGGCACCAAACAAAAAGTAAGCAAGATAAAAATAAAGAAAAACCAAAATAGAAGCAATCAAGAAAAATATTTTAGAACGAAATGGAAATTCAATTACTTACACACACACCCAGGCATATTTTAGGCAAACCAAATCCTTACACACACACACACACCCAGAACAACAACAACAACAAATTTAAATGAAAATTATTACAAAAACATAAAAAATGATGAAGGGAAAAAATAAGAAGAAAAATATTTAAGCAAAGCAAGGCATATCATAGTTTATAACAAAAAACCGAAAACACAAACAAATATGAAGAATGCTAAACAAAATAAAAAAGAAAGGAGATAGCCAGGCGAAAAAGATTCTGAGAACGACCTCCAAAAAAAAGCTGATGATTTGATTTCTATTCGTAAATCCCTGAAAACCCCACAAACTTCCCCCCTTCCCAAAACAAAAAAATATCCCCAAAGAATGTCAAAAAAGAAAAGAGGAGGGAATCAAGACAGCAAGCTAAGAAAACTAAAATGGAAAAACCACAAGAAAATGGAAAATAAATAAATGCAGAAGAAACATGAAAACCAACCTATAGGATCAGCAGATGGATCAGTCATATATAGCTAGCTATATAGTCTATAGTCTATGCCTAACAACATTTCTAGTAGTCGAGCGAATGAAAAGATATATAAAATTATAAAGAACTTAAGAACTTGTTCACACACAGACACACACACGCGACACTAACACAATCTTAAACACACACACACACTCACACAAATACAAGCAGAGTAAAGAATGACAAACAAAAGAATGAAAGAAGAAGCAAGTGGAGAAGAAGATAAAAAAAAATGGAAAACAAACAAAAAAGAGATGAAGAAAATGAAATAAAATTCTAAATAAATAAAAATATTGAAAAATATTTGGGACACTTCGAGTTTTAATCAAAGAACATGGCGGCGCCATGGATTATCTGTAATCTATATAAAACAGATCATAAGATTTAATATCATAGGATCTTGAAAAACTTATATAAAATATATCCTGTTTGATTTTTTAAGTTTTGGAAATATTTTATCTTTTTTATCACTAGAATCAGGTTTTGTTTAAGTTATTTTTAATATTTTTCATTTCAATGAGGTTCAGTTCTATAAAAAAATTCTGTTCATTTTCTAAATTGTAAGTCCTAAGAACTCTATCTTAGTCCTAAGTAATCTTTCGTTCCCAAAATGAACTCATGACCGAACATAAAATAGCCACGTCACGTATGTAAGTATATATTTATCCACTATCCTTGCAGCTTCTTCAACTTTTCTCTATCGACTTATCGTTTTTGAACTCTTCTGTATTTTAATTTGCCATATATATATATATATTCATATATATATCTGCCAGATAGTTTGTCCACTTCTAGATGTCTTTTTGTGTGAGCTTTTAAGTGTTTGCTTGCCTTGTATTCATTTGCCTTGCATGAGTTGGAAATGTAGCCCAAAAAAAAGCCCTTGAGGAAATAGATATCAAAACTCCAAAAAAAATAAAAGAGGATTTCCTTAGCCCAAGCAGTTTAGCAGCCCCTCCTCACATTCAATTTTTAGAACTAAGATATACTTTATTTGAGACCCAATATCTCTGACCCAAAAGAAATACTCCAAGAAAGCAGAACAAAAGAGAGGCACTGCGCACTATATAAACATATATCGATTGTATTGCTAGAATCAAACTGAATATATACCGATTTCTGATCCCACACAGCTGCTACGTAACTTCAGTTCCCCGATGAGCGCTATGGCCGCCAGTCGCTGCCCAACCCCCTTCGCCTTTCCCTTCTCACCACTCGGCCTGAGCCTCTTCGACATCGATCCGTCCAGAATACTCAGCCTGCTGCATCATCAGACATGGCTAGCAGAAGAGGCCCTCAGGTAAGATAGATTTACAAGGCTTAAAGATTAAAAAGCAAGTTGTTTTTAATCCCGTTAATGAGACAATATAACCACAGCCTTTTAGAAGTATCGCACTTAAAAATCCGAGAAAGATTAATCAAGTTATAAGCTTTTGAAGTTCGATTTTGGGTCACCTTTTTGTAATAGGTAAAAACTAGAAAAGTACTATCATTAAATAGGAAAACAATGACTATCAATCATTAAAAAAATACTTTTTAATTTATGTTTCTAAAAAAAATAAGAATACATAAACCAAATTTTGGACTTAAGATGTACAGTCCAGTCCAGTTCTGGGTCACCATTTTACAAAGAAGTTCTAAAATAACAGATTTCTGATATAATCGACCAATTTAAACACAATCTATTACCGAAATCCTTAAAAAACCTTTACAATCTATAAATATGCCGAAGTAGAAACACCAATCTATACTAGAACTTAAATTTAAAATCAAATATTAACAACTTCCTTAATCACAGGACACGTGGTCTCCTGGCGGCGCCCAAGGATTTTCCGCACCGCTTTACCACCCTCAGCGACCTGCTGACCAAGGACTATCAGCCGGGTCAACCGAACGTTACGGCAACGGCAACGGCGACCACCGCCTCATCCTCGACAAGTCAGGTGAGTGCCGCCAGCCGAGCCGGCGACACTCAGTACAACAAACATGCACAGCAGCAACCGCAGCAACCTCAAACAAGCGGAGTGGGTGGAGCAGCAGTTGGCCAGGGTCAGGCAGGAGCAACCTTCAACCTGCGTTACCCCACACCCACCGCCTTCTACCAGCAACAGCAGCAGTCTAAGGGTCCTAAATCTTCACCCTCACCCCAGCAAATAGCCACTAGTTCGACCACGGCCATGTCTAATGATTCTGGCGAGGATAGTTGCAAACGCAGTTCGGCGGACAGTGATGAGGTCACTATTATGGAGCTACCCAGCGAACGTAGTGCCCAGCTGTACAAGGAGTCACTGGAGCAACTCCTTCAACGCCAGCGACGAACTCCCATCTTAGCGGGATCGGGATCTGGTTCTGGTTCAGGATCCGGCAGTGTTATCGTCGATGCTGCCGGTCTGAGGCAGTACACCCAACTCTTGTTAGCCGGAGCAGCCGGCAGTTCTGATATCAAGGAGAAGAGTTCCTCGTCGTCCACATCGTCTACACCACCTCTGCTGACCCAGCAACTCAGTCAGATGCTGAAAAGTCCCTCGGACACATGCTCTTCCCTGTTTAGCTCTTCAGGTGGCGGTACAGGATCGGGTTCTGGAGTACCAGGAGTCACTGGCGAAACGATTGAGGAGGAGACCCGCTGTGTAGTTTGCAATGCCCACTTCCCAAATGTATGGCTGTTAGAACAGCATGCTGCTTTGCAGCATCCCCACGTGGGACCCGGCGAGGAGAAACCCTTCATCTGCGAGCAATGTGGCCAGTCGTATCGCTATCGCAGCGCCTATGCCAAACACAAGGAGCAGAACCACCGAGCTCGTCTCCCAGCCGACAAGCTCTTCACCTGCGATGTTTGTGGAATGCAGTTCCGCTACTTGAAGAGCTTTAAGAAGCATCGCTTGAACCATGCCCTCGAACGACTCCATGGCAAGAAGAGCGTTGGCGTGATTGGTCGACTGGGAGGATCTGGTTCCTCGGCTATGTCTGTCTCAGTGGCTGCGCCCACTTCTGCTTCTGCCTCGGGTTCGGTTACCTCGGTGGACCAGGATGTGGTCACCAGTTCACAGGAGCCAATGCTCGCTGATGAGGGTGAGGATTTGCGAGTGAATGTGAAGAGGGAAGGCGCCTCCGATGAACAGACAACCGAATCACGTTCCAACGACATCGAGGAGCACGAACAGGACAACACCGTCGACTCAGCGGGCATCACGATGCTCTATCAGGACAACAACTCCTCGGCCTCGGCCTCTACCAGCGCCACCGAGCCTAACATAAGCAGCTCCGACGGTATTCATAGTACAAACAAGCGGGTAAGTTATCCCACATCGATCTTAAAGATCCTTCTTAAACTTCCTTCGATACTAAATTACCTAATGCCCTATTTTACAGTCGCGCCTGCACCACTTGGAAACGGATCCCTCCTACCCACACCATCACCATCACCACCACCATCACCATCAACAACATCAGCAACATCAACACCACAATCCGCAGTCGCAGTCGCAGCTGCCGACCCATTTGGGTCACGTTTCACTGCCACTGGTGGCCACTTCGGCCGCCGGTTCTTCATCTTCGGCAGCAGCAGCTGCTGCTGTGGCTGCTGCTAATGCAGCCGCTGCCCAAGCGCAGGTTAACTCTGGCGGAAGTGGCAATGCCACCGGAAGTGGTGCGGTCGGAAGTGGAAGCGGTGGTTCAGCCTCAGGTGGCGGTGGCATTAGTTCCCTTAGCTCGCTAACCTCACTGATCAACGCCGAGCGCATTCCGAATGAGCAGTTCCTGGGACTAAATCCACAGGAGGCCTCCATACTCAACTTCTTGCGCGTCGATGCCGCTGAGCGACAAAGGGACAAGAGGTAAGTTCTCTAACCCAAAGTTTAAAATGAATTTAAAACTATGATATATGATTAAAACCTCTACTAATATCCTATTTTCCCATTGACAGGCCTGCCACCTCGCGTTTCGCATGCCCCTTTTGCGGCAAGTGTGTGCGCTCCAAGGAAAACCTCAAGCTGCACGTGCGCAAACACACCGGGGAAAGACCGTTCGTCTGCCTGTTCTGTGGAAGAGCCTTTGGTGGCAAGTCGGATCTGACACGCCATCTGAGAATTCACACCGGCGAACGGCCGTATCACTGCGAATCCTGCGGCAAGTGCTTTGCACGAGCGGACTACCTTTCGAAGCATCTAACCACACACATTCACAATGCGCCACGCTGAGATGAGGCGCGTAGGAGACGGCTCCTACGCAGATAAGGAACCAGCTCCAGAATCAGCCACACCACAAACACACACGCACACACACATTGAATACAGGATATGAATGAAACAAAAAGCCTATGTATAAATCCTATTATTAACAGAAGAAGCTCTACGATTAGATCACATTTTCTCGCTAGAGTTCTTTTTTTTTTTTTTTTTTTTGCAAGCTAGAGAAAAACAAAATTTACGGGCAACTAAATTAGCACGGGTATTAAAGTGTTTAAGATTCTGAATATACACACCTATCTCTCTGAATCTATATATAAATATATAACAAAATATGCGTGAGTAAGGATTTTACGAATATTAATTATCGTAGCAAAAGATTTAGGTTTCAGTTTTTTTTTTTTTTTTTTTTTTGATTTTCCTTTACAACTATGCTTTAAGTGCAGATGTGAACGAAATGCGACTTTAATTTCTAAACAAAAGAAAAACAAACACACGAAGAAACAACAGCCACAAACTCAAAAAATAGCAAAAACAAACATTGCAATAGCAATAATAACAAATAATAGTCTGTATTTTCTACCGAAACAAAAACAAAAGAGAGCAGATCTGCCGTTGATATACACAATAGATAAAATATATTTAATTTTACACCGATCTATAGAAGCTAAACTAGCAACAATTTGTACAAAAAAATGAAAGAAAAACAAATAATGCAAAATGCAAAACGAACTTTGCAACAAAGAATAATCAATGCAATATTACTGAGCAAACTCTGTTACCTACCGCAGAAAAACAACAATAAGCTAACTTGGGATTTTAGTTAAACGAAGTACAGTTACTGTACTAAAAAACAAAAAGAGAAAAAAAGATAACTAAGCCAACCACTAAAACGATGTTTCAACGATGCAAGCATTATTTATTCTTCGGTTAACCGATCTAAATACAAATACATATTATATATATGTTCAGGATGGAGAGTCGGATGTTGGTTTATAGGATTATTGTAAAAGCTAGGAGATACTACTAAATGGGATCTACCACCGTCAATAGTTTAATTTATATACAAAGCAAAGCAAATCAAAACTAATAAAACAAACATAGCAACAATTAACAATTAACAATAGCAATTACAATTTAAAAATGAAAAACAAAAAACAAACTGCAAACAAACTACAACAACACAAAACTAACTGTGATCACAACAAGAAAACAACATTGAAGTTTTAACTAACTAACTAAAACTAAACTACAAAGCAAGCTGAAACAGGCAAGAATAGTTTATAGCGATGGGGCAACCATGGCAAGCAATAGAGAAATTTGAACGATGCGTTGCGGTTAGGTGGCAACTCTGCCGCCGCATCGTTCACAATCCGCTGGTAACGAAATGTGCAATTAAACAATAACAAACAAAGAAAAAAACAATAAAAAAAAATAGGGAACACCCATAGGTCAAAAGTTAATTTCTCAACCGATATTTGCTTCATTTTGACTTAGTTCCGTAACACTAACAATACACACAGAGAAATGGGGATGAGAAAGCAAATTCAAACAGAAACCTTGAACCAAGAACATCGAATTATAATGTAAATGAAAATGTAAATCCAAAAAACCGAGAAAATTCAAATGCGTAGAGATGGGACAGTTTTTTTTTTGTATGTATCTAATAAATGTCTAACGCACTAAGGAGAATATTTGCCGTACCAAAAAGTAAAGAAAGAAAGAAAGAAAAAAAAACAAAAGAAAATCACAAATAATGAGAACAAATCAAAGTAAAAGTGGTAGAAGTAAAGTAAATGAAAACTTTCACTGTGCCAAAAAGTTTCAAGTACCTCATAATTTAACTAAATATTAAAGAGAAAAAGCAACTAAACCACACCGAAAAGAGCCCACACAAAATCCACAAGCAGTCCACACACAAGATCCACATAAAACAAACCTCCCCCCTTAAAAAAACAAAAACCCCAAAACTATATATATATAGATGTATATCCCGTAACGAAATGAGTCTAGACAAGAAAAATGTCAAAGCATATAATTACATAGAAGCTGAAAGCTGAAAGCAAAGCGTTAACTAATCCTAATTTACCAACCGGCGAGGGCTAGAAACTAGTTAGTTAGATAGGGATAGAAGAGCTAGAGTTAGAAACGGAGACAGAGAGAGATGGCGTTAGCGAAGGAACGAGAAGAAAGTCAGCGCATATATAAGAGAGAGAGATCTACCATCCACAAGGGAGGGATCATCTATACGTTTATATAGTAAGATCCCCGACCTTTTTTCGATTATATTTTTTGTAATTTATTTATTATTCTCCAGCAACACAGTTCTGCCTAAATTTTCTCTCCAAAACTTAAGTGTTCAATTTTAGCGAATATATATTTGCCTTGGAATATATACGAGTATATATATATAATATATATTATGTGATAGTTTAACTAATTAACAGCACCCTTTCGAGTTATTTTTGCCTATATGCTATACACAATACACTATATCTTATGTTAATTGTAAAGAAAAGACAACAAATTTATTATTTTCATGAATTACCATATAAGTTTTCCTTTTTTTTCATTTTCAATTGTGTCAGTATGTGAACCGTCAAAGATCAGGGCCTCTAGCAAATGTTATAGTTTTTAGTTCATTATTATTATTATTATTATAGTTAACATTAATCTGATGTGAATTTCTATGAGTGGAACTAACTTTAGATTTACTTCCTTTCGGTTCTCGATTTCGCTTTTAATTACTATTTATTTTTTTATGTAACAACATCCAACTGCAACTGCAACAACAACAAACAACAACAAACAACAAAAATCAACACTGCCTTTTGTAAACACACACAAAAAAGAAACCCGCAAAGTATAATGCAAAATTTGTAATCTTACTATCTTAAGTTAATCTTTTTTAAACTATTTTATTGTTTTTTTTTCGTGTCTAAATGTAAACATCACAAAATGCCGAAATCTATCTACGTTTAATGTTTATGATTTTCCCAAAACTCTAAATTAAGTTTTTTCAAGCAACATTTTTCAAATACCAACAAGCTGTGAGCTGTGTATGTGAATGAATTATTTTTATGAATATTATTATTACAGTTATGTGACACTCTTATTATTATTATTATCAAATTTTTTTGGAAACACATATTATTATTTTTGGAATTATTATTTGATAGTATTTATTAATAAAGTTTTTTGCAATGAAACCACACACACACACACACTCTCTTCTTTTGGTTTTTTTATACCATCTCGGGCACATCCGTCGATATGAAACCATCCGTCGATATTTCACCCCTCGTTTAACCCATTATTGCCTATGTTTATAGTTGAAAATGCGCCTTAAACGAAATTTTAGGTAAACTAAGGTAAGAAATAAAAAAAAAAAAGGAGAAGGAAAACCCAAAAATTGTGTCATTAATACTCCCTTTTCGGTAAGATACAAAAACAAGTTTAAAAGCTAAATTAAGGCAACCCCAAAAAAGAGAAAAGCAATATTAACAAAATTAATGAGAAAAACAAAATGAAAACCCTAAAAATTAAAGTAATTTTTTCTTAGGTGTGTGTGCAAGTAAATGTTAAATGAAGAAACCAAAAAAAAAAAGAAAACTCTAAGAAATACAAAATAATCAAGCATCAAAATTAAGGCGAAATTTAAGTATTGGAATTTTTTTGTGAATGTAAAAGCGGTGAGCGGTGAGGAGCAAAAATTGATTTTAAGCCAAAAAAGAAAATATTGGAGGGATTCAAGACTCTTATTTCGTATATACATACACATATATATATATATAAATATATATATTATATATATATAATACAAATTTACCACGTAGGCAGTTTTTTTAAGGCATTTGACAAACATGCAGGAAAATACGTGTAATAGAAAATTACATTACAAAATTCAACAACGAAAAACTTTTGGCATTAACAATTAATGCATTTTTAAAATACAATATTTATTGATATACCTAGATATAGAGCCCAGCAGAAGCAACAACAGCAACAAGAAGAAAAAGAAGAAGAGCCAACCAAGCGGAAGGTAAAATTCAAAAATCCAAATAAAATGGAAACGGAAACGGAAATGGCAAAGGCAAAGATGAAAAGATGAAAAGATGGAAATGAATAAACAAAGAAATCCAAATATTATACATAGAATATATCTATATACAGATACATAAATGTACACGTGGTTTTCGGTGTCTATTACTTATATAAATAGATATATATACATACATTATATACATACATCATATTATATACACATGACGTGCATATTTTGAAACAAAACCCCAAGAACCCACAAAAGCCCAACAAAAAAAAAAAAAAAAAAAAAAACAAACCATAAATAAATATAAATGTTGTTCATTTGACTAATATGCGGAAAGCAACTCAACCAAAAATATATATATATTAGCATATATATTAATGAAAAACTAATGGTATTCCACTCCCACACGTACACTCACCACCCAAGGGGCACTCAAAATGGTGAGGATTACTAATATTTTGGGTTTCACTTTATCAAAATCACAAATCATTTTTATATTTTCCAATTCAATTCGGAAATCATAAAGTTCGTATATAAATGATATAATATTTGCCATTCCTAGCATAATTAACAAGAAAATTCCTAATATTACCAGCTTCATTATTATTATTTCTATATATTTAGAACAAAAACCTCATCAGTCACTTGTACTTTGGGTGTCCCTATCCCTAAATCATTTAGCAAATACATCAAAGTTTTAAATGTAATAATACAATTTAACAAAATAAAACTACGATTTCATGAAATTAAGACAATTTCGAGGTTTCACTTGCAAAACAAAAACAAAACTAAAGAAAAGGCATAACCATATAACAATGTTCTATATATATTATAGTCAAAAAATCATTTCAAATTAGTTTTTGTTTTTTGTTTAGACTTTGATTTTAGATGATGGAAAAACCATTTTAACTTTGTCAAAAAACCAATTGAATTGTTAACAGCAACTAACTCATGTATGTAAATACATTAAATGGATACCATCTCGAAAAGAAAAACAAAAAACAAAAAACAAAAAGAAAACAACCAACAAAATATACAAAAAGTGCAGAATAGAAAAGCGAAAAAGCATAATAAAACATAAAATGTAGTACATGCAATATATTTTTCGGTGTTAGGCGTCTTTTTGAGATTTTTACAGAATACCACAAATACAAAAAAAAGAAGTCCCTCAAAACAAAACAACAAAAATCTATAAAAAGTATAATATTTCATTGTTGATGTTGTGAGCAAAACTAAAAACTAAAAACCAAAATCGAAAAAACACTTCAAAAATGTAAAACTAAAGTAAATTGTATTTATTTCTCCTACTCTCTCAACAGTCTCTCTCTCTCACACCTAAGCTCTAAACTTTAGCTGTCGTGTCTCTTTAAATATATTTATAGGGGTTTACATACATATAAGTCCTAGGAGACGCGGAAACAATGGAAAATGTTTCAAACATTTTTTTTTTTTTAAATATATACATAAACATGAGATTCGGTGTCTACAAATTATACGAAACTTAAGAATGCAACTAAGGAAAACATTTTTAGATCAAATTCGAATGGTTAGAAACGAAAGTTTTTGAGAGAGCTGAGCTGAAAAAACGTTGGAGTGGCAATTCGGAAAAAAAAGAACGAGGGGAGGAAAATACTTAGCAATAATTCTGAAATGACCTCAATCAAATATTTTTTAAATTTTATATATTTTAGTCGTGCAAAAACAGAAAAAAAAAAACCAATCAATAAAAAACCTAAATGTGTAAATAAAACTAAAAAAACAAATACATACAAATCGAAATAGCAAAATAAAACAAAAAATGTAAAACAAAAATAATAATTCAAAAAAAAAAAAAAAAATGAA